GCGGAATCCGTGTCAAATCCTATCCACATCCCTGTCGCATCCACAAACGAGGCCGAGGACGACGATGACGACGATGACGAGGATGACGTGGATCTGGTATACACCGAGGACGACGATGACGAGGACGAGGAGGATGACGAGGACGAGGACGATGAGGACGACGCCATCGCCGATATCACCGGTGCCAGGCAAGCACGTGAGTTCAAGGGAAAGAGCAAGAAACACAGTACAGGGCGTAAACACACGCGTAAATCTCGCACGCGTGCTACATCCCCTTCCTTGAAGGCTGTCGTTTAACCAAGGGAGAAGGGAAACGAGTGGCAAGTCACATACAACGATTCCTGACAATCACGTGCTCAATTAATTCATTATTGTTCGCTTATCCTCGTTGGCCAAAAGGCGGTCGATGCTTTCTATGCTGTCGTGCAGAAATGGTCTGGAATAAACTTTTGCTTTGAGATGGTTTCGTTGCTCTAGGTAAAATTGTCTTTGAAAATGTTATTTTTTTTAGTTTATTGTAATATTTTTATTAATGTAATATTTTTATATTAATGTAATATTTTTCTTAACGAAAGTTAAAAGATGATCTTCTTTGGTTTTTTTTTTAAATGATTTTCTGGAGCAGTGTTTTACTGTTACGCAGAAGTTTTATGTGAATAATTTGAAATAAAAAGAAATATGTCAAATCATAGGATTTTATTATTTAAAATTATGATATATTTTCAATGTAAAATTTCAATTATATGAATTTTCTTTTAGAAAAATTATTTTGTGTATTTTGTAATTTTAATTATTAAAGTAAGATTTTTTTAATGATAATCTATATAAATTTATAAAAGTTTTATGTTATTGTAAATCTTAAGAGAAAAATCCAAAAACTTTAATCTCAAGATAGATTTTCAAACGGCGTTCAAGCATAAAAGTTAATTAAACGAGCAAGAATAATTCATTCAGAATTAATTCGATTTATCTGTGATTCATTTTGCCGTTTAATTAAATTTCAATTTACATCAATTTTAGAAAGCTAATCAAAGCAAAAGTTAAGTCTGGCGACCAATAGAGCTTGCGCATTCATTCGTAAAGAAACAAAGCACCGAGTCGAGAAGCTTCAGTTCATCGGTGCTGTTCGACACATTATATACTTTTTCAATGAAATTTCGAATACAATTTCTTAAAGTTTCTTTTCAAAAGAAACGATCAAATATTTTTTTCAAAAAGATGAAAAACATAAACATAAAATTTTGAGAAAATTTTTGTTGATCATTAAAAAATAATATAATAAAATGATCGGCAAAAATCCCCCTTTTTTTTTATTATTTTCTAGACAGTATAGGAACGTCTTATTGTTGTATTAAATTAAAACATCTTAAAGAGGGAATTTAACAAAAAATTTAAAAATTTAAAATATATTTATTATTATTTTAATTTATTTATTATTTATTTTAGTTTATATAAAAATTTTTCTACAATTATTATTTCTAAGTAAATATCAACCATATTGAATATTTAGTTAAAGATTAAATTAAAAATTGTAAATTTATCCTAACGTTTTGTAGCAAATATCTTTGAGATGTCCAAGAGTTTTTGACACAATAATTTTA